GGTGGGTCTTTCCTAGGGTTCTACCTATGGATGTTGGGTCGGGTTAGGGTTGAGGTATAGGTTGTTATGGTTTGGGTGCTAGGGGGTGGGGCATGGTTAGAAAATGGAAATGGTCATTGCTAACTAAAGAGACCCCTTAGAGGGAACCCTGACAGGACCCCTAGAGAAAACCCTGAAAGGACACTTTAAAACGGGGGATCTCTTATGTTAAAGGGACCCCTTCCATAAACCCTAAACCGTAAACCCTCAACCGTAAACCCTAAACCCTAAACCTTAAACCCTAAACCTTAAACCCTCAATGGCCCCTTAAAGGCGCCTGCATCTGCGCGTAGCGGTCTTTCAGCTCCTCTAACTCCGCCTCGAAGGGATTTGGAAACCTGCCGACGGTGTTTAGAGTTTCGGGTTTAGGGTTCCTTTTAGGGTTCCTGTTAGGGGTTAGGGTTTAGGGTCTAGGGTTTAGGGTTTAGGGCTTAGGGCTTATGGTCGGGTTTACGGTTTAGGGTTTAGGGTTTAGGGTGCCTTTTAGGTCTGAGGTTGAACCCGTGGGCCAATAGCATGGGCCCTTAATCCTTGGATCCTTATATACCTACTATATACCCTATATGTATCCTTAAGGGACTCTAGAAAGGCCTGAGGGTCCATATTAGGGGCCCATACTGCTAACCTTGGATTTAGGGTTCCTTTTGGGGTTCCATTTAGGGTTCCGTTTAGGGTTGCTTTTAGGGTTCCTTTCAGTGCGTAGGGTTGATGATTTCATTCAATCGAGACAGCTGATGCCGGAACTCAGCCAGGCCAGGATGATGTATTCGCATCTTTCGGGCAACGGGGGACGGCTGCATGCCACCAAAACACCCAGAGACTCCAATACCCCTTAATTAAGGAATATACCTTAAATCAAATTAGAGATCCTACTATAATTTGAGCTATAGTCCTTAGTTAAGGGGTATTGGAGTCTCTGGGCACCCATGTGCAATGAATTTAGTACGCGAAAGATCCCTCAGAAGATGCCATAAAAGAACGGACGACACTCGACCTGGGCGGCCGAAAACAAAGGGCGCAAGGCAGGGACCAAGAGGTCTGGCAAGCGTAGCTAAACCCCAAAGCTCGAAATCGTAAAGCCCTCCTGAAGCCCTACACCCTAGACCCCTTTTTTCACGCAACCGTTAAAGGAACCCTCAAAGAAACCCTTCACGGAGCCTACCGACTAACCTAAACTCTAAAACCCAAAGCCCTAAACCCCAAACCCTAGAACCCTAGAGCCCTACCCCCAAAACCCGAAACCCTAAACCCCAAACCCTAGAACCCTACCCCAAACCCCTAAACCCTAAACCCCAAAATTAAACCCTAAACCCTCAAATCCTAAAACCCTCAACCCTAGAACCCTAAACCCTCAAATCCTAAAACCCCTAAACCCTCAAATCCTAAAACCCTCAAAACCTCAAACCTCAATCCTTAAAATCCTAAAACCCTAAAACCCCTCAAATCCAAAAAACCCTAAACCCTATACCCCAAAAGCTTGCCTTCTCACTTGCTCTTCAATCTGCTTGCAGGCTTCCTGCAGGCCGCGGAGCGGCGAGGCTTAGGTTTTAGGATTTAGGACTTAGGGTTTAGGGTTTAGGGTTTAGGGCGTAGGTTTTAGGGTTTAGGGTTTAGGGTTTAGGGCTTAGGGTCTGGGTTTTAGGGTTTAGGGCGTAGGTTTTAGGGTTTAGGGTTTAGGGTTTAGGGCGTAGGGTCTAGGTTTTAGGGTTTAGGGCGTAGGTTTTAGGGTTTAGGGTTTAGGGTTTAGAGTTTAGGGTTGAGGGCGTAGGGTTTAGGGTTTAGGGCTGAGGGCATAGAGTTTAGGGCTTCGGGTGTAGGGTTCAGGGTTTCGGGCGTAGGGTTTAGGGCTTTGGGTTTTAGGGCTTAGGGTTTTGGCTTTTAGGGTTTAGGGCTTTAGGGTTTTAGGGTTTAGGGTGTAGGGTTTAGGATTTAAGGGTTCCCTTAAGGGTTCCTATATCGGAGTTAAGATTAGGGGGACCCTCGGCGATATAGACCGTCTCAATAAGGTCCCTTTTAAGACATTTTCAGAGAGCCATAAGTAGGGTTAAGAAGGGTCAGCTTTAACGGGTCTCCCAAATACGATCTAGGACTATATAGGTTTAGAGAAAGGTTCGCAGAAGGAATCTATCAAGATGAGTGTTCGGGCTTTTAGGATTTAACTAGGGTTCAGAGATTGAAGTTGAGGGTGTAGGGCTTAACATGGCTTTGAAAGGGGCGTCAGCCAGCTATCTCGCAGAACTGAACTTGAGGGTTTAGGGCTTCGGGGTTCAGAAAGGGCCTTGCGCGTTCGGCAAGCTGAATTGCATCTGGAGACAGTCTTCACAAACGCTTGCAGGCCAGAGCCCTGCCCGTCTTCTGGAACACTACGTAGTCATGGTGCCCGGCCATTTCGAAGACACACAAGCCTAGGTGCAGGCCATCCGCTTGCAGTTCGGCATGCCCCCGCCTCAGTGTTAGGTCCACCAAACCCTAAACCCTAAACCCTAAACACCTAAGTACCCTAGACCTAAACCTCAGACCCTAAACCCTAAACCCTAAACACCTAAGCACCCCAGACCCAAACCCCAAACCCTAAACCCTAAACCCTAAACACCTAAGCACCCTAGACCCAAACCCCAAACCCTAAACCCTAAACCCTAAACACCTAAGCACCCTAGACCTAAACCCCAGACCCTAAACCTCCACTTTGGCCGTGGTTGGCCAGAGTCGAAAACTTAGCTGCCCAGTACCCTGGCCCAAAAAAGCTTAAACTTTTCTTTTAGTAGGGGTTTAGGGTTTAGGGTTTAGGGTTTAGGGTTTAGGGTTTAGGGTTTAGGGCTGTACAAATTTATATGGGTAGTCGTCAAAATTATGGTCTGTTTTGGGGTACCCTAAATAATGGGTGCCGTATTATAATAAGGACCCAAAAAGGGACCATAATTTTGACAACCACCCATATGGATCACAGAAGGGATTGGCATTGCTTTGATAAAGACTTTCGAGGGCGCTGCACGGACGGAACAAAGGGGCTGAACATGGGCTTGAGACGGCTTCATGTGGCTTTATCGGGACTAACCATGAACGGTTTACTAACTGTTCATGAAGGAGCTGTCTTCTTGGCTTGAACGAGATTAGGGTTTAAAGGGGCTTAGGTCAAGGCTTGCACAGTTGAGGCTTCGACGGGTTTCTAGCAACAGGCTTGAGTTTTACAGTTTAGGGCGTACAGGGCTTGGGCTTGAAGCCTAGTTGTTTCCAGAAGCTGCAGAAAGTCTTCACCATTCACCAAGCACACAGTTGTCATTGCGATTTGTAAGGGTCTTGCACTGTCGTATATGCAACAACTTACACAGAGTGTCCATGGTGCCCAGTAGATCCTGTACCAACGACTTCTGGCTTGAGGTCAATGGGCTTGGGACCCGATGATACAGGCCCACAAGCCTATACTCCCTAAAAAAACCCTAAACAAAACAGTAATGAAAAAAGCCGACAAATGTGTGTGAAAACACCCTCACGCCGCTCAAAAAAACAAGCCTGTAACAATGCCCTAACCACCTGCACATTTGTTGGTGCTTTTTGTTCGTGGGCTGGGCATTTGAAGGTTTCCGGTTTAGGCTTCATGTCCCAAATCCGTAACCCTAAACCCTAAACCCTAAACCCCAAACCCAAAGCCCTAAAGCCCTTAAGCCTTAAAGCCCTAAAGCCCTAAAGCCCTAAAGCCCTAAAGCCCTAAAGCCCTAAAGCCCTAAAGCCCTAAAGCCCTAAAGCCCTAAAGCCTAAATCCCTGATCCCTTAGACCTTAGGGTTTAGACTTTGCAGGCGCTGGGGTTTAGGGAGCACCTGAAGCCTGAAAGCCGAAACCCTCCAAACTTGGGTTTAGGGTGTGGGAGAGTAAGGGTTTAATTTAGGATTTAAGGTTTAGGGCTTCAGGCTTCGGGTTTAGGGTTTCGAGTTTTGGGAGAGTCTGCCTTCTTTTGCAAGTGTGTACCCTAAACCCTAAAGCCTAAACCCCAAAGCCTAAACCCTAAACCCTAAACCCTAGACCCTAAACCCTAAACCCTACGCCCTAAGCCCTAAACCCCAAACCTTCCCTAAACCCCTAAGCCCAGGCCCGACAGGAATTGGGGCATCCTCGGGCTCCGCAGCCACAACTAAGAGCCCGAAACATCACCTAAACATAAGCTAGGGTTTAGGGTTTGAGGTTTAGGATGTAAGGTTTGAGGTTTAGGGTTTTAGGGTTTAGGGTTTAGGGTTTAGGATGTAGGGTTTAGGGTTTAAGGTTTAGGGTCTAGGTTTCGATTCGTCCTATGAGGGCCTTAACTTTGGCGCGCAATATCGTATCATTGCAGTAAGGAAAACTGAGATATAATCTCAGACGATAACCGTAAGTATTCAGGCTTCTGGATGAATATGCCTACAAAGGAGAGGGCAACCCTAAGCCTAAACCCCAAACCCTAAACCGTTCAGGACCTTCTTCGATGGCAAAGCTGAGGCGAGTTTGCGGCTGAGGATATAGGGCTTAGGGTTTAGGACCTGGGGCTTGAGGTTTAGGACTTAGGGTTTAGGGTTTAGGGCTTAGGGTTTAGGGAAGGTTTGGAGTTTAGGGTTTAGGGCTTAGAGTTTAGGATTTAGGGCTTGGGGTTTAGGATTTAGGGCTTGGGGTTTAGGGTTCAGGGTTTGAGGATCAGTTCAAGGGTGCAGGGTTTCAGGGCTTGGGACCTGCATTTCAGGCGGCACACGTTGGTTTAGGCCTTCCATCGGTTCAGCCGGAAACCCCTAAACCCTTAAACCCGAAACCCTGAACCCTAAACCCTTAACTCTTAACCCTCAAACCCTTAACCCTAAACCCTGAACCCTAAACCCTGAACCCTGTACCCTAAACCCTAAACACTAAGCTTTAGGAGTTCAGGAGTGTAAGGCTTAGGAGCTGAGGGTCTTAGAGTTGGGGCCTCTGAGTTTTCGGGTTTAGATTTTGGGGATTTCGGGTTTAGGGTTTAGGGGTTTTCGGGTTCAGAGTTTAGGGTTTGGGGGTCTAGGGGTTCAGGATTTAGGGGTTTAGGGATTTAGGGGTGTACGGTACAGGGCTTGAGGGCTTTGGGTTTAGAGGGTTTAGGGGTTTAGGGTTTAGGTCTCTGGAGTCAGTCCTGGGCTTTGAGCATCTCTTGCTGGAGGATCTGCTTGACCTGCTCGTGCTCCTTGAGCATGGCCTGGCATGGCTTGAGGCGTTTTTGTCAAGAGCCATGTTAAATCCCACGACGGTGGCCTGTGTTTCTGGTTCGGCCTCGTAGCAAACCTTAACCCTTAAACCCAAATCCTAGAACCCTAAAAACCCTAAACCCCTACACCCCCAAATCCTAAAACCCTAAACCGCTCAGCCCGAAACCCCCAAACCCCTACGCTCTAAACCCCTAAACCCGAAAACCCTAAACACCCAAACGCCTAGACCCTAAACCCTTAAAGCCCTAAGCCCTTCGACCCGACACCCGTAGCGTTTAGGGTGGAGTGTGGGAAGTGTTCGGCAGCAGGATCGCGGGCTTCGGATCGAAGGTGAAAACTTCCTGAAACTTACTGGTGCTTAGGGTTTAGGGTTTCAGGGTTTAGGGTTTAGGGTTTAGGGTTTAGGGTTTAGGGTTTAGGGAAATTTCAAAGAACCCTAAAGTTTGGGGTTTAGGGTTTAGGGTCTCAGGGTTTAGGGTTTGGGGTTTAGGGTTTAGGGTTTAGGGTTAGGGGGAAGTGGGACAGTGAATCCCGATAATGGCCCCTATATGGGTAGTTCTCTATTCTGGGGTCCCTTTTAAGGTCCTTTTTGTATAAAGGTGCTGTACTATTTTGGGGGACCTGAAAAGCGGTTCTAATTTATAGAACTACCGCACTACCCGTTTACCCCAAACCCTCCCTGAATCCCAAATCCTTAGTAGCCCTTAACACCGCAACACTGAACCCCAAAGCCCTGATCACAAAGCCAGCTATGACATAAAGGGTTTTGGGTTTTGGGTTTAGGATTTTGGGTTTAGGGTTCAGGGTTTAGGGTTTAGGGTTCAGGGTTTTGGGTTTTGGGTTAAGGGTTTAAGGTTTTGGGTTTCGGGTTTTGGGTTTAGGGTTCAGGGTTTAGGGTTTATGGTTTTGGGTTTAGGGTTTTGGGTTTAGGATTTTGGGTTTAGGGCTTTGGGTTTTGGGTTTGGGGTTTAGGGCTTTGGGTTTAGGGCTTAGGGTTTTGGGTTTAGTGCGCCACCCACACTATGTGTAAGAAATTTAAAAGATTCCGCGTTGCGCGTCGGCGCGGCCAACAGATGCGAGCGGAAGCTTTCATTATTTTGTGTGAGGTGTCACCTCTAAAAAAATCAGAATGATGCGAGGCGGAGTGGCCGTGAAAAATGGAAAGTTGTGTGATTGCCAAATTGAACCTTTATGGTCGAGGATGGCCTCTATTCCTAGATTTAGTAAACTTGATTCTATCCTTGTATCCAGGACTGAATGCAACATGATGTAAGGGGTCTTACGGAGTAGCCAGTGTACTTTTGATTTATCGGGACTGCTGTTGTGACAGCAGGGTTTGTGATGGCAGGGTGGGGCGTCCAGCTAAGATCCAAACTCTCTGGTTGGGGATTCTAGAATAATACGAAGCCTTGATAGGGTTTCCAGAGAGTGCGGCGCTTGAATGAATAATGAAACCTGAATCATGGAAGATTTGGATCTTTGCGGAAAGAGTTGAAAAGTTCAGGCTGATCTTGCCGCTGTGGCTCAACTTCATGTCGCGCAGGGTGAACACCGACGCGATGTTCAAGACCTGCGAATCGTCCTTCGAATCCACCCAGAGGCTCAACGCCTGCGGCGGGGGAGGTGGCCAGACCACCTGTATGCGGAACAGCCTGGAGCTTGAAGGCAGTGCTCTGGCCGGTGCCTCTACCGGCTGCACGTCCACGTACTGGACCTCGTGCTTTCTCAGCTTCCTTCGCAGGCGGCGTTGCTTTCGAAGCAGGTCCATTGACGATTCCGCAAACCCCTAAATTAACTTCCTAAACCCCTAAACTCTGAACCCTTATAGGAACCCTTGACGGAAACCTTAACGGAACCCCTAAACCCTGAACCCCTGTAGGAAGCCTTTTCAGGAACCCTTTAACGGAGCCCCACCAGGCCATGAAGGAATCTTAGCGGAACCCGTACAAGGAACCCTTAAAACGATCCCTCAAAAAGGAACCTTGAAAGGAAACCTGAAAAAGAAAGCTGAACAGGAACCCCTAAACCCTAAACCCTAAACTCCTCCTTCAAACCCTAAACCCCTAAACCCTAAACCGAAAACCCTAAACCCCTAAACCCCAAACCCAAAACCCTAAACCCTAAGCCCCAAACCCTAAACCTTAAGCCCCAAACCCTAAGCCCCAAACCCTAAACCCTAACCCTCAGCCCCCAAGCCCTCCGGGGCCTCGTAGCGCTCGTCTCGCCAGCGGATCTGAGGCTCCCAATCCTCCTCGGCCCCCTGATAAGGGTTTAGGATTTTTGGTTTCGGGTTTAGGGTGTAGGGTTTGGAGTTTAGGGTTTAGGGTTTAGGGTTTAGGGTGTAGGGTGTGGAGTTTAGGGTTTAGGGTTTAGGGTGTAGGGTGTGGAGTTTAGGGTTTAAGGTTTGGGGTTTGGGGT